AGTTAATAATTTTCAGCTGAAGTCAAAAGTTCCCAGTGTTCGGTTTTAAAGCTGCTTTCATTAATTCATGGCCAGAGTAAACCCATGGGATTTTTGAAGGTACAGCAAAAATGGGCTGCTTCACAAGTTCAGCCGAAATTAAGAGATATAGCTGAGGACACAGAGTCCGATAATGAAAACTGATATTAAGAAGATGCCAGCTCAGGATCTGAAGTGGAAAATCCTGCCTTTGAATAAAGGCCAAGGGTAAAGGATATCACTTGATCTCTCTCAGCCCAATTATTTCACCCCTAGTTTATCTTACTACTGCATATTATAATCATAATTCATTCTGATACGTTGTTAGTTGCATCTTTGTTATAAAAGACACCTGAAAATCATTCTCCCCTAAATCTGTCAATAGCACTGGTTTATATATCTATTTCAATTTCTACTAAGATTCTTCCCGTCCCCACCCCAGGCCGTATTATTTTTCCTCCTACAAAATATCTGGTTCAAATCTAGAAATAAACTAAAAATGTGTAGTAACCAGGACTTTTTGTGACAGTACTCACTAGCACAGAGTACTGGCACTTCTCATTTTGCTGCTGTCAGCAGCCATTTTGTGCTGGCACCCACGGCACTTTTATCAATATATGAGTACCACCAGAAGCTCTTTTTTTTATATAAAAAAAAAACCAAAATCCCCTAGGATCTGATTGATATTAAATACTAAAGAGGCTGCCCAGGTCTAAGGATATGAAGTTGTGCCCAATTTGAAGTACTGTACTTGGGGTTTTTTTGCAGCAGTTTCATTTGACTTTAGATTCATTCCAGTAATTCATTACGCCTTTAAAAATGACTACTTATCAAACCAGGACTATTTCTAGGAGGGGAAGCAACAAGTTCTAAAGAAAGAGTAACGTGTACATAAAGCACTGGAACAAAGTCAGATAGTGGCAGTTTTCTCAGAAATATGACATCATGGACAGTTTTCTTCCAAACCCACATCGAAAACAAGTGTTCTCCCCACCCACCCAAACTGGATTGCCAAAGTTTTGTTGTGAGAAAGTCATGCCTCTGTGAAGTTTTATCTAAAATGCCTAACTTCCCAGCTTACTAATTAGAGTGTATCTTTAGATGTGGGAGGATTATTTAAAATGAAAGACAGTTCTTTTATAAAGGTGCTTCGATGGCTCCCCGACTGTGAAGGAGGGAAGCAGCAGGAGACAAGTTAAATTAGCAATAAAGTCCCCATAAACTTCAAAGGGAGCAGATATCATCCATATGGCAATGAGACCAAACGTGCCACAATCCCTATTCAGTCTTGCTAGCGCCCAGCTTTTAAAACAGGACCTCAATGATGAGTGCAGCCATGGTTGGAGCGCTGCGAGATCAAAAGCTCAAAAGTTAAGAGATGCTTCAGGGCTAGGTCATTATTTTCTATACAACAGCAACTTCCTGCAGCAGTAGATGTTAATTTGAAACAAGCAAACCTCACATGCTTTCCTCTCTTATCTGGAACCAAAACTAATAATAATTTCAATAAGACTGTTATTGGATTAATGTAGGAGGAATGAAATTTCACAGAATTCTCCATTTTATCAGCCATACGAAGAATTCTGCAACACTCTAAAGAATGCATATTCTTCTACTTACAGAAACTGGTCTAATAAAGTTACTACTTTACTTGCTTGGTGTAACATTACTTGGTACAAGCCCAGAAAAAAAGTTTCTGTATGCTCAGTGAGAGGAAGAGGTTGTTGTCTAATAAGAGCTGGCACTGTTACAGGTGCCACATATACTTGTTCTGCATTTGTAAGGAATTTGTATTTTAGTTTGGCAGCACCCCTACTTTGGAACCCTCTATGTATTGATGTCAAACAGGTGCCTTCCCTGTACTCTTTTCAGTGCCTGCTAAAAACTTCCTTTGTTTAGGCAAACCTACTCAGATACGTAGAATGTTGGCATGTATTTTGATCTGGTTCTTTAGTTTATCTTTGATTTTAATTATTCTTTCAATGTTTTAATAGCTGTTTTTAACTACTTTTGTTGATAATTTTACTGGGTTTTCTCCTCGTTGAAAACTGCTTTGAGGGTTTTTTTTCTTACACTCAAGTAGTACACAAATTTTACGAAATAAATAAATGAAAGGAATATAATGCATTATGTGGGTCAGAGGCGTTGGGAGAATCATTCCCCATTCCTGCAGAATTATTTATTTTTTGTCATTCTTGGAGAACCTTTACATATAGGTCATCCTGTTTCAGGTCCAAAGCATTTGCCCAGGGGCATGGATTAAGGAGGGAGACATCTTCTAGCTACATCAGAATCACATAGTTTAACCTTTGAAGTATGGTTTCCAGGCTGCAACTTTAAATTCCCGTGGTGCAATGAGAAATCAGGTATCCATGGCATTTCCTGCCCATTCCTTCCCTGCTCTTTTTCTGATAGCTGCCACAAGCAGGACTCCAGGTAGACAGGATGGATGAAAAGACAGGTGGAAGAATGGGCTAGAAAAGCTGTGGCTACGTGAGGCACCAGGAAAGTACCATACAGATCTCTGGGTCGCCACCAGGGAAAGCTTGTAAGAGTTGATGAACTCATTCTAAACCCTGGAGAGCTGCTGCCAACCAGTGTAGAGAATACTGACCTTGATTGACCAATCGTCTGACTCAGGGCAAAGCAGTTTCCTACATATATTCCAAATCAAGACCCCCACTGTGAGGGAGAAAGGGTTAGGCTCTAGGCTTGAGGAGACACTAGCCAAAGTGCCCTCTGGTGGGTGGAGCTGCCATTTTAATTTCCCACAAGCTGTCACTCCAGGGCATCGCGGGAAATTAAGATGGTAGCTCACAGGTTCGGTTAGCTAGCGGGAGGTGTGGAGGCAAGATGGGAGTCAGTGCTGGTGGGCTTTGCAAGGGGACAGGGGCAGAATGTGCAAACAACCAAGGTTAAAATAACCCTTAACAGAATTCAAGCATGTGTGTGTGTGTGTGTGTGTTAGTTTTTTAATTTGCTCAGTGCATATATTTCAATGAAGAGGTTTATCCTCATGTGGGCAGTGGTAAATTAAAAGTCAAAGCCTGTGGATGAGCTGGAATCTTATGCTTCCCCGCCCTAATTGTTTCTGTTTCCTTCATTAGTGCCAATATTTAATTGTTTGCCTTTATTATTTGCAATAAGCTTTCAGGTCCACTGAGGAAGATGAGTCTGAAAGACAGGTCTGACCTTTTTGTAGTGTGTCTATGTTTAAACTTTTCTGATTCATTTACTTATTTGCAATAAATTTCTGTTGCATGTTTTACCTTAACCCCCTTTTCAGCTGCCTGTCTTAAGACACCAAGTGCCTGGAGGGAGAGTTCCTTATACACCTCAAGCACCTTTTTTCAAACTTTCCCCCTCAGTGAAAGTCCCCCACCCAAAAAAAAGCTATTCATTTGCTGCTAAGGACCCTTGCACTTCCTCTGCCATGGAACCTCAGCTGCATCTACAGAGGATTACAGAGTATGTTCTGGGCTAGAGCACACACGCAGTTCATCCATTGCAATGGCCAGGCATTGGGTCTCGAAATCGCCTCATATAAACTGAACCAGGAACACACCCCTATAGCTGCACATGGCAGAGAAATATTAGCAGTGATGGGCAAGTTTATCTTTCAGGAAACCTTGCCTGCCATTCCTGATTTTCACCCTGAATAATCCCTGATAAGCTTTGAAGGAATCACAGGTTCCTCCAGACACAGTTTGAAAGCAAGTGAACTGAAACATCCTGCAAGAGATGCTTATCTAGCCATTTTATGGGGAGGAGGAAAAACACCTTCCGTGGAAAGACAGAGCATATTTCTCCCTCTGTGACAATGAAGCGCTGCTTCTTACTTCAGAAGCTGCCTCTCAGGTCCATAAAACCCAGCCAGTTTAGTTTTCCAAAACTACTGATATGCCATTTTCCCGATGTCTCGAGGAAGGGCTGTGCAAGACTCTTAATGAAGGCTTTGGGGTAGGAACTATGCTGCCCTGCTATATTTCCTATGAAACTGCAATTTATAAATATTTTAATGTTATTGTTATGATTAATAATAATAAATATAAATCCCAGATCACTCATTGGCACCCAGAAAGTTTTCTGCTGTAGTCTTGGAATGTTGACTCCCCCTTATCCAAAATGTTACGGTGAGGTCCTAAATCTAAAGGCGCATGAGGGCACCCTTTTGCTGAAGCTAAGCAGGTCTGAGGGGGCAATCCTATGGCAAGATCTGCCACGGCTCAGCCGTGAGTGTAATGTTCTCATCCTGGATCAGCTGGCTGATCTGAATCCACAGTAAGCCCCCCCCGCCAAAAAAAGTGTGTGTGAGGGCTGGACCAGAATGGAGGTGAATTAGGCTGGATCCTAAGCCTGTTCAGTTCGGTCACATGACCAGGAAACCTATTTTAAAGACTTGTTTCCCCGCTGCCAGGCTTAGGCAGAGCAGCAGCCCTGCTGCTGACCAGGGTTTGGTTCTGGCATAACTTTACATTCTCTGAACTTGCACCAGCTGGCATTATGCCAGTTTCTCGTGCAGGGGATTGCTCCTCGGGTCTGATTAGTGCTTGGATGGGGTAATCCTCCCAACAAGCATCTTTGCTGTCCCTTGGGAACCCCACACACCTTGCCTTGGGACTTCCTGGCAGACAGTATTGCAAGAAAGTAACTGAGCGGAGCAATCATTTCTGCTCTGTAGGAGTTACTGAGAAATAGCTACCCTTGGTTTAAGGGAGGTGCGCCCCTTTTCCTGCCCCATCCCCACCTTTTTCTTTCTTGCTTTCTTTTTGCAAAGGGGGAAGGTGAGGTGGACTTTGACCGATGGTTGTTTCCAGCGTGACACCAGCACTTGGGAGAAACTGGTGGCAAGGCAACCATCGCGGTGATGAAGATGGCGAGGAGGAAGAAGACAGGGAGCATTGCAGAGAGGAGGACAGAGACGGGACACACTCGGACGGGACACCGTCGAAGAAGGGGGGGGTTAAGAATAAGATTTCCTCCTACCCTGAAGGCTCCCTGAGTGAGTCTGCTGTGTACCTGCTTTGCTCCTCCATGCTTCGGTTCTCGGCCGCCCGCCACTCGGGCATGGTGCTGGCGCAGAGCACCACCATGGAGACGATGACGAAGAGGATGGAGACGGTGGCCAGGATCTGCGCGGCCAAGGAAGAGGTGGGCTCCTCGAAAGTCCTCCTCATCCTCTCCAGCCACTTCTTCTCGGCGCCGGGCGGGGGCGCTGCGCGGCCGCCGCCCTCCCCGGCTTCGGCGCCGGCACCGCCTCGGCTGCTGCTGGCGGTGGTGCTGCCGCTGCCCCAGGCCGCCCCGGCGGCGGGCTCGGCGGCCTGCAGGTCGTCGGCCGAGTAGGAGGTGTAGGTGTCGGACATGCGGTCGTCGAGGCGGCGCTGGCAGCAGTAGTCGAGGTGCGACGCCTCGAGGCCCCAGTAGATCATCTCGTTGTAGAAGGAGAGCTCGCACATGTGGGGCACGAAGCGCAGGTGGCCGTAGCGCACGTAGAGCATGATGAAGCCGAAGGCTTCCGAGTGGCGGTCGAAGAAGTACTCGTTGCGCTCGCGGTCGTAGTCGTCGCAGACCTCCAGCACGTCCTGCTCCGACAGGCAGCCGTGCAGGCGGCTCAGGCGGCGCAGGGGGAAGTCCTTCAGCACCTCCCGGGAGAACGAGTAGCGGGTGCCCCCCACGTTCAACACCACCACCGACGGGCCCCCCCGGCCAAAGTTCATGGCTCGGGGGGCGGGCGCGGGGGAGGGCGGAGACGGCGAGCGGGGGAGGACGGGCGGCTCGCGCGGCACCTCAGCAGCCCCGAGGTGCGCGCCGGGGAAGGGCGGGGTCCTTCTCCTCCTCCTCGCTCAGCCTCGAAGCGGCGCCGTCTAGAGCGCGCGCTTCAATGCCTGCTGCCCTCTGGGTCTTTCTTTTCGCGCCCAGGCGTCGTCCTTTCGGAGGGGCGGCGTCCCGTTCCCAAGCGGAGCGCGCGCCGCCCGGCCCCCCTCGGAGGGGAAAGCGAGCGCGCGGAGTCCCTCGGAAGGGAAAGCGAGCGGGGCGCCCGAAGGAAGAGCGCGGCGGCGGCGGCAAGTGAGGTGGGGGGCTTCACCGAGGGGCGGCGGGCCACTCCGTGCGCCCCTGTCGCGCGTCGCCCGGCGCTGGCTGTGGCGAGGCACCGCCGCCGCGCCGCGAGAGAGCCCAGACGGGCTTCGCGAAGGGCATGGCTTGGCGAGGCAGGCGAGGCAAAGTCCCGCGAAGTTTGGACAGCTCCGGGCTGCGCCGCGCAGCCTTCGAGGCGCCGCGCCGCTCCCTGCTTCTGTGGCGCGCGGCTCGCGAGGCTGAGAGACACGGCGGCGCGTCTCCTCGGAGTGAGGGCAGAGGCGGTGGAGAAGGGACACGCCTCCTCCCTCCCGCCTCCCCTCCCGGGCGGAGAGCGAGCCGAGCTGCCTCTCTTTCCCGCTCGGCGCCGCGCGGAGAGGAAGACGGAGGCACCTGAGCAGAGGCTGCTCTTTACTTTCCTCGAGGAATCAAGGACCTGGAGCGCGAGGAGGGAGGGGGCAGGTTTCACTGCCCGCCTTAACCGTGTTCTAGATATTTATTCCATACAATATTTACATTCGCATTCCCCCTGTCTGCTATTCCCAGATGGCTTTTATAGGAACTGCAAGTTAAATAACAAAACAACTCGTCCTCGAGTTCGCAGTTTTCCTTACCTGTCCCCCTTCCTTTCCCCTTTTGAGTCATGTCTGAAGGCAGTCACTCTTTATTGACCTGTTGTCGGCTGCTGTCTCCCTTTGGGAGCGGGGCGATAGTGCTTTCCATAAACATTTATTTCAAGTTCTTTTTCGGCAGCCCCCTCCCCAATTGTCTCCCTCAAGTGGCTTTACTATAATTGACTAAAAAGTTTCTCTTTTTCCCAGGCCGAGCGTGTTACAAAAGGCAAAGCAGGACTGAGTGCCTGTAAGAATCGAGGGAACACTTAAGCCGGCATAGCAGCAGAGCTGTTTTTGTTTTTTTTAGCACAATATGCCCACTATAAGTGGTGATTACAGGGCTGAATACAATTTCCTCCTTTTCCTGTCCATGATCATGGGACTGAGTGGAGAAGTGGAATTGCGAGTAGTCCAGAGAAGGCAGCCAATGATTCTTGCAAAAAGATGAAGCAGTCAGGTCCTTCCCACCGCTCCTGGCTGGAAAGGGAGGGGGGAAAGCATCTTAAACAAAACCGTTATTTTCTCCTAGAGTGAGAGGATGTCAATGGGGAAGGGTGAAAAGCACACATTCATCTATCAAGGGCATGCTTGAAAAGTCCTGAAGCAGAAACATTTGATCACTACCTTTCCTGCTCTTGTTTAAAGCACCTGGAAATCAAATGGGTTTGGATACACACACCGTTTTTCCATATTTGTATTAGATCTACAGTGCATACAACTAAGTGAAAACAGAGACTCTCTGCCCTTTCTCTCTGCTGCATGTAATCCCTTTGGTGGTTTATTATTTTCTAAGAGTTCCCCCCTCCCGTTTTAGGGCAACCCATATCTACTCAGAAGTAAGCCCTATTGAATTCAATGGGGCTTACTCCCAGAGGGGTTAGGATTGCAGCCTTAGATGACAGTATCTCCAGTATCTTTTAAAAGTGCACATAGTGGAGAAAGAATGGAGTTCAAAAGGCTTCTTTTTATCTCTGATTTATATTTATAGCCCTTGCAGCATCATATCTCTCTGCTTTTTTGTCCTTGCTTTTTCACGGCATCTACAGTATTATTTCTTGCCTGTCTTGTCTTCACAGCCCTTTTATAGCATTGCTTGTTGTAAATTATAACAGTACTTCTTTTGATGAAATCGGGGTTCCCTGTTGGGTAGAAAGAAAATCATTTTCTACTGAATATGAGCTGCTGTTTGAGGACCAGTATGGTAACAGGACAGCGATAGCATATTGGATAGGAGACCTGCGCTTAGATTTGACAGTCACTTAACTTTCAGCCTGACATGCCTGACAGAGTTGTTGCAGGAGCAAAAGAAGGGACCCTGGGCAGCTTGGAGGAAGGATTGGATAAAGACGGAATAAACTCTTCCCTGGTGTGATAACTGCCTCTTTAACAAGAAGGATGCCTCCTACAAACCGATGCCAGGCTTTTGTGGATGATTTCCTTGTAAGCTTTGCACCAACAGAAAACAAGGGGGAGAAATCTATGAACTGATTTATATGATTTCTAAGTAGCTGTTTTTATATACGTGATGTGATCATTGTGCCTCTGTTCTCTTTTGAGAAGCACATCATGCATGTGTAGGAGGAACAAATGAGGGGTGCAATGTTTTTATTTATTTATTCATTTATGTATTTATTGTTTGTTTATTAAGAAACATAACTGAAGAAAGTCAGCTGTCTGAGGAAAGAATAGGATGCTAGTACCTGCCCTGTCCCTCCTGGCCTGGACATTGTCTACTGCTCTGTTTCTGGATCTCATCTTGGGGGGAGGGTAGTGATGGGAGAGAGCTTCCGGGGCAGGGGCTGCTCTATATCAAGGGTGAGACAGCAAGAATCTAGATGACAGCATTCTAAGAACAGTTAACTTGAGCAAATTGTGCTTCAGCTTGCTTTATCCTTCCTCCTTCCATTCCATTTTCCTTGTATGTCTTTGGTTTTCTTTAGATTTTTATCCTGAACGCAGGGACTGTCTTAGCAATGATTTTTTCTCAATGTGAGAGCCTTTTGTGAGAGTTGTATACATGCCATAAATAGATAATAAATTTGTATCCCGCCTTTCCACTCCATGACACTTACAGTAACTAATAGCAATAATACAAATACAATTGAAAATGTATTGAAATACAGTAAAGCAGCATTGCAATGCAAAGTAATGCAGGGAGAGAGAACCAAAGGTAAAACACCAATTAAAAACAATCAAAACCAGTTAAAAGAGCAATGGAAGATATTTGGAAGTCAAGCTTACAGGCTAAAGACCTGTCCAAATAAAAGCTGTATTTGTCTGTTGGCGAAAGGTTACCAGAGATGGGGCTGGCCAGGCCTCCCTTGGCATGAGTACCTGAGAGAAGGCACCAAGGCCTTCAGAATCAAAGCAGTTGAAGAAGAAAACATCCTACTGAGACTGACTCAGAGTGAGATTCAAAGTTCTAATCAGGGATGAGTAACCTGCAGCCCTGCACTTGTTGCTGCACTTGTGATGTGATGCTGCACTCCCTAGCTAGAGCCAGTGGGAGATGGGAGTCTAACAACACCTAGAAGACCACAACTCCATCCCTCTACTGAACAATTAAAGAGAGTACATGGAATTTCAAGTTCAAAAGGAACAAAAATCTAGCTTGGTCTGGAGAAAGGCATTCATATTTATCAAAGCAATGAAGGCATGATTCCTGCTCCAGGTGGGTACACTTAGCCTGTTAATGCCTCTAGTCAAACAGTTTTCTCAAGTTTTTGTATTGTTTCAGAAACCTGTCATGGACTTATTCTGGGTCAGATCTTTGGTCCATGTAGTTCACCACTGGCTACAATGACTGGTTGCTTTCTAGCAGCCTTTCTCAACCTGTGGGTCCCCAGATGTTGTTGAACTACAACTCCCATCACCCCTAGCTAGCAAGGCCAGAGCTCAGGGATGATGGGAGTTGTAGTCCAACAACATCTAGGGACCTACAGGTTGAGAACCACTGGGAGTTTCCAAGATTTCAGGCAGGAGTCTGTCTGTCTCAGCCTTACCTGGAGATACTGCGGATTGATCCTGGGACCGGAGCTCATCCCCAAAGGAGAATCCACACTTGCTTTGCCAAAGGAGATAGTGGAAGAACAACGACAAACAAAAAGTTTCTATCATAGACAACTCTCTGAAACGACTTTATTCATTCATATCCCACCTTTCTCAATAGAACTCAGGGCAGTATGCATAGTGTTCCTGGAAAACAGCCCATCCTGGAAGTAAGAAGGCCCTGACCCAGCTTCCAGGGCTGGACCACGGGGTTTTCTTGACTGAGGAAAATGGCAAGGTGATGCCCCCTTTCCAGTCCACATGCAGAAGCTCATGTTGACACTGTGATGAGACACCACCCATCACCACCAAATTGCAGGCTAATTTAGGGGGCACAGAGCAGGCTGCATGGCGCACACGTTTCTGTCTTCCAGCAGAGGGGGATGGCTGCTATGGCCAACCCTCAGCATCTTGTCAGAGGTAGCCACTTCACCCTGACTAATGACAGAGCCAGTCCTGTTAGCTTCATCAGGGTTGCTGCAGCTTGTGTCTTCACACCACAGACCTGATCCCTTAAAAACAGGTCTGTCTCCTGGTTTGATGAAGTAAGGCACTAGGTGGAGTACAAATGACGCCTTTGCACTTGTAGAAGGGCATCCACTTATGGAAGCTGAAGAAGCCTCAAGTCACACGTAGACAGAGAATAAAGAGGCAGCTGTGTGCACAACTCAGCTGGGTCAGGACCAGTGGGAGGCTGGTGAAAATAAAGGAAAGGAAGGCAAGAATGCGTGAGTGGGGAAGCAAGTGGAAGAAAATGGAAAGGAGGGGAAGAAGCAAGGAGAGACAGCATGAAACTGAACCTTAATTAACATTATTTGTTTTTTTAAAAAAAGCAAAGCACAGATTATCTAGAATTTATCATCCGTTACTGAAATATGGTTGCAAATCTGAACATGTTAGAGATTATATGATAAAAAAATGGGTGCAGGATGTAAGTAAAAATATTCCTAAAGAAATCTCAGAGACTCTGTAGAAGACAG